TTCCCAATACTACAATTGGGATCACGGGCATAGAGTTGAGCACTACCGGATACCTGAGTCTATATTCACATCCGTTCGAGAGTGAAGAAAAGATGGAATTTTTCGATCTCTGGTGCAGCCTACGACAAAACGAAAGCAGGAACAATCCACACTATTTCTAACGGTTGGTGGAGAGAAAATGTATTCTCTGCCTCTGAAAGCCTCAGTGTGATCAGGATGGGTGTCTAGAGTTGCGGCTGGTCACCCCTTCCTTGCACCTCGTGAAATGCTCCCATACGACCGAGTATATCAAATAGCCTCTGCTGAGGGAGGTTTACTCACTGCTTTCTCGTGGCAGTGTTTCTCCACCAAAGCGAGAGGACGAAAAGCAGACATCCGGGGTCAATACCTGGTTAGTGAACCCCTGGCAGTTCACCTAGGGGAGTTGGCTAAAACCATGATTCTAAACCAACCAAGAAAAAGCGTACCAATCACACCTAATTTCCTGGTTGTGTTAGTGATCACCGGCTCGACTGAGCATCAAGGTGTATTGGGTACCTTGGATATCTTACACCGTTCGGAAGGCGTATGATCCGACAAACTGGATACCGGCCCCCAATGGATTGCGGTTTTCACACACCACCTCGCTGCCTTGCGGGTCAGACTTTGATTAACCGAAGGCTCCAGTTGTGGATTCCTCAAGAAAATTCACCAGCCTTGGCTTGGGCAACATGGCAGTACTCGGCCCACACGCAAATCATGGAACTTTTTTCTTTTTTATAATGATTACTATATCATGATTTGTTTGGCACACAGTAAGGCGTCAGACGTGTGTGAAATATATAACTATATATACTGAAAAATCTCGTTTTCGCTAACAATCAGGCCGAATTACCATTTCAAAACAATTACTTCTTGTCCAGGTGATTCCAGTGGATCTCCAAGCTACTGAGAGGCCAGAGTTTAATTTTTTGGTTCGTGCTGAGTCCAGATTTAATACCGCTGATCGACAGAGAGACAGCCAATTGCAATTATGGAGACAGACAATTGTGGCCTTATTGTAGACAGCAACAATATGAATCTTCAGCGAAAATTGCTTGGAAAAAGGACCTATCGTTTCCCGATGCTCGGAGGATATGTGGTCAGCATGGTCTCATCGTACCAACCCGTAAGTCGGTTACCTTATTCCAGAACAATTCAAGATCGAATATATCTTTGATTCAATCTAAACACTCATACCAAAAGAACAAAGTGTCTTGAACAGGAACTCCCCAACACGAACAGTAATCGTGAGGTGAATTTCATCCGCGATCAAAGTGCCGCTTCAGAGATGTGCAATTTCAAGGTGGTGGGAAAGTTGGTCACATTCTGAAGGAGTGCCGTCAACCGAAATGCAACTTGACGAACAATGCATCTTCTTGTGAGGTGGAATCTATCCCAACTTATGGATTGTGAACCATGGCGGAGTGCAAACAATGCATCCACAATGACACTGCTTTCGAATACAGAGTAAAACACTGTTTTATTATGGATATCGGTAGTGTTGAGTCCATCAAATTACGTGGAACTGTCAAAAATGTTTGTGCAAATGCTACCCCGAAATCAACTACAACGTGAATCCATGATGTAACTGGTCACTTTTCATTTTTGGGTGAAGTAACCTTACTGGTACGTTCCCGTGACAATACTTCTGTGCTCATTCTATACTGGGTGTCACAAAACAGTCCGTCTATTCGATTGACAGCAATGGGAAGGCTAGGGCACTCATTATCCTTGCATACAAGTGAATCGAAATTCGGTACTACCGAAGAAATCTGAAAATGCGTGATACGGAAAACACGGGAGGAATTAGTGTTTCTGAAGCAGTGTTGGAGGTTGATAGTGAACCAGTATTTCTTAAAAGGTGTTCTACCATATGGACAGCGTGAAGGCGTGTTGAAGGCGACCGAAAAAAATGGAGCGCAACGGTGTTAGTTCCGGAGTGACGTCATCACAATAGGAAACCAAGATTGTTGTGGCAAAGAAAAGTGATGACAATATCCCGAGGATATGATATGACTACCGATTAACACCCAATCCTCGATTACGAAAATGTACCGTGACAACAATGGGGACGGAGGACTTCAGGAAATCCTAACATGGCTGTCAATTTTTTCCAAAATCGATCTGGCAAATACCTACCTCCCGATTCCAGATAACCTTCGCCGTGGTGCTAACTTGGCACACCACTACTGATTTTTTGTCAGTAGTTGAATCGCTACTCCCGTTTTAACTCCATCACACCTCAGGTTTCAGATCCGACAATCATTGACCATGCATTTTCGCATAGTGATTTTGGTTGCTGTCTTTTTACTACCCACTTAAGTGTAAGTGTAGGGGGAAGATCGGTATTTTGAGAGCAGTTTCAAGGTTGGATTACATTGATAATTGGGTTATCGTAGCCGAATTAACCGGATTACTTCGCTCTTCTCCATCAAACTGTTACGTAGAAACTATGCAGCTAGTGAGTCCAACTATTGAAAAGAGCAAAAGATTTACGTTAGTTTGCATCACAATTTTATGCGTGCTATCATATCGTGGATAATACGATTCAATTGCTATAATGAGTCAAACGATCAAGTGGTTGGTTTTTTTGTGAGTGACGCCTAGACCTTGTTGACCCTGGATGTTTTTTCCCTATTCATTAATAACCTTTCCACTCCCCACTCCCACCCACCGTGGCATGCAAGTATACTGGTGACGCGATATTTGGATTTCCCTCAACTAGTCTTTACAGTTTCTGTCAACATCAAAACTGCCTAGATTAAAGTTGCGGTTGACCTGCAATTCGGATTTTATGCTTAATGTCGCTGTGTTGACGTTCCTTTAGGCCTTAAACAGAATCCCGTTATCAGACCCTTTTAATTACCAGCTAGAACTGCATATTGATAACACTACCATTCCCAAGGCTGACCCTTGCAAATATCTTATAAGCTTTCTTCATCAAAGCAGGTTTAATACATATATAGCATGGTTCGTTGATACTTTCAACCCTTACAAAATTAAAAAGCTTGTCATTCCTCTAATTCGTGAGTTTGCGACAACCTGCATTCTCCTACAATCATCACATTGTTCCCAGTGTTCTTCCTCGGTCTAAAAAATAAACTTTATCCCTTTTGCTATATCCATTACATTTCTTGTCTGTTGCAGTGGTACTGACTTGTACCGATCAATAACTGTGAGACTCATTGGGACTGCTTTCAAAGATCCGGTTACTCTCATCTCTCTCCAAACAGTTTCACTAACCCCGTCTCGAGCTGCTACCAGTGATCTTTCACTGTGCGTTCATCCCTTTATGTTACTTGCAGTGGCCAGTTGCGTCAAAATGGCACTTGGAAGCACCTTATAGGATGGTAATACTATGCAGTTGTGCCTCAACATCTTTGGGAAAATAGGAGTGGATCCTGAGGTGGGAACGCAGGAAGATGTGATCTGTGTTGTTCATGTTGCTTGCTACTGTATTAACCTTGCGGGGCACAAGTAGAAGACCATAGAGTTACATTTTTTATTTTCAAGATTCGTAGTTACGGCTTGTCACGGCCAAGTTACAGCAGAGATGATGATTTACAAGGGGAGGCGGGCTCGAGTGCAAATCAGCTCGGGGCACAATTGTAAAGTACAGAGGCAAGCCCAAAAGTGAGAACGAAAACTAGCGGGCTTAAGACTCAAGAAAAGCACGCCGGGTAAAAAGATTATTCACTCGGCCGCTTCATGTTATCCAATTCAATCATTCAACCGATGATGAACAAAGCACATGGGCTTTACTTGTGGCACAGAAACAAGCTTAAATTTGTCTGCAGGAACTTAGGCAGTGCCCGCGGCAGCCTGGGTTTGCCGTCCTTGCTTCACTGACAGATTGTGCAATCGAGCCAGATTCACTTCGACTATTGTGGTCTGCTCTTTCAAGAACTCCCATGTTCGATCCACATCAGCTAGAGACTGTTTCGCTGAATCTTCGTTCTCCATCAAAATCTTTTCGGCTTCCTCCAAGTTGTATTCTAGCATCACATTTGCCCCCAGCCACAGACCCACACGATCAGCTTTTGGTATGTGAGCGCGAGCAAACAACTGGTTGGAGACTTCAAAAGTAACATCCAAATCAGTGTTTTTTTTCTGCAATTGTCTAACTACAGCAAGTGTTTTTTGAATGTCAGGAAGTTGTTGCATTAATCGAAGCTTCCTTTGTAGTAAGGCGCGCTCTATAAGTTGATATTTTTGGTGGAGTTCTTCAAAGGCACGACCAGCCTCCATCAGTGTACCAAAATTATTTGCTTTCAGATACGCGTCGACGTCCTCCATGAATACGGCCTTGGGAATGCCTTTCATTTCCATTTCTGAGCCGCAGTCACCACTAGTGCATGCGTTGACAGCCGGTCCATTGGGTTCCATTTTTATAAATTAGAGCTAAAAATGAGATGAATGTGATGATTCCACTTTCGAAAAATTACAAATAGATTCGACCATGGTCAATGATATCATTAATTGAAAGGGCACCCAAGTTAACTTCTTTGTTATCATCAGCGGACACAAAAACGGATGAGCAACAAAGAATTATAGCATCCACCTTAATCAGAGCCCAATAGTGGTTGGTCAAATGAAGTGAACTAGTAATTGTCATCGATGTGAAGCGCTCGCCTCGGATCATAGCTTGAAGATAAGATTACCAAGGGGTAAAGAATGTCATCACATAAATTCATAGACAGTTTTAATGCCTTTAACGTTGTCCAAGTACTTCGTTCGTGCTTATCCTTGGACAGCCCCTGAACGATCGTTCCTTCTTTCTTGAAAATTAATTATACAATGGTCGACTCAATGAAAGTGCAACATTGCTTTGGTTGTAAGGACCATTGTTTGTTGCGTGGATCAATATGGTGCTTATCCGAACGGGACCTGGTAAGACTCACCAATTCAAATCCCAGGCGTCATGAGTACACGGCAGCTCCGCGTTTTAGTAACCAAGTGCAATAAAACATACTGCTAGATCTCACTTGGAACTAATTCTACCCATAAAGATAGGGTACATTGCATTGGACTACGGAATTAATCGTCATTAGGCTTTGTATACATATTTGCTGTCCGTTAGTACAATAGCGTTCCTTCTAAGGGATTTTTCTGTGACTTTCGATTGGACAACGGTCCAGATAAAATGTCAGGCTTTACGCACCAAACGGTGCCGATGTGAATCAGGATGTGGATGTTGAAGGCCCAGGTTATTAAACCCCTAAGAAAATTTACCTAAGTTAACCTGGGTAGTTCGTCATCATCATCATCATACAGCGAAATACAAGGAAACGAACTTCACTGATCACTACCAAACTCACAATGCATATGCACTGGGTTTTGATGGACGAATACTGCTAGGGTGTCCAGCCACAGCAGGACAGGTTTCTTTGTTAGAAAAAATGCAGATAAAATATTTATGTCGATTATATATCACCCTAGTACCGGTATATGAATGAACTCATACACTAAGGGATATGTATGTCTTCCCGTGGTGGAGGTAATTTACCACCAAAGTGAGAGAACGAAAAGCCGACATAAGGGGCTATAACCGGGTTGGTGGACCACTGGTTGTTCAACTAGGGGAGTTGGCCAAAAACCATGATGCCAAACCAACCAAGAAAAAGCGTACGAACCAAACATCTTTGCGAATGTGGCAGTGGTCACGGCTCGATTGGACAATTGGACATCTTACACCGTTCGGAAGGCGTATGATCCGACAAACTGGATACCGGCCCCCAATGGATTGCGGTTTTCACACACCACCTCGCTGCCTTGCGGGTCAGACTTTGATTAACCGAAGGCTCCAGTTGTGGATTCCTCAAGAAAATTCACCAGCCTTGGCTTGGGCAACATGGCAGTACTCGGCCCACACGCAAATCATGGAACTTTTTTCTTTTTTATAATGATTACTATATCATGATTTGTTTGGCACACAGTAAGGCGTCAGACGTGTGTGAAATATATAACTATATATACTGAAAAATCTCGTTTTCGCTAACAATCAGGCCGAATTACCATTTCAAAACAATTACTTCTTGTCCAGGTGATTCCAGTGGATCTCCAAGCTACTGAGAGGCCAGAGTTTAATTTTTTGGTTCGTGCTGAGTCCAGATTTAATACCGCTGATCGACAGAGAGACAGCCAATTGCAATTATGGAGACAGACAATTGTGGCCTTATTGTAGACAGCAACAATATGAATCTTCAGCGAAAATTGCTTGGAAAAAGGACCTATCGTTTCCCGATGCTCGGAGGATATGTGGTCAGCATGGTCTCATCGTACCAACCCGTAAGTCGGTTACCTTATTCCAGAACAATTCAAGATCGAATATATCTTTGATTCAATCTAAACACTCATACCAAAAGAACAAAGTGTCTTGAACAGGAACTCCCCAACACGAACAGTAATCGTGAGGTGAATTTCATCCGCGATCAAAGTGCCGCTTCAGAGATGTGCAATTTCAAGGTGGTGGGAAAGTTGGTCATATTCTGAAGGAGTGCCGTCAACCGAAATGCAACTTGACGAACAATGCATCTTCTTGTGAG